TTCCCTCTAACAATTGATCTACAACTACTAATGCAAACAGCATGTGACTGGAACAGTTCCTTCTGCTGTCAGAGCAGGAAGGTGTTGAAAACAACATAACGGGCCATATTGCAGGATTTCAGAATAGCGAGTGAGTCTGGTTAGATGGTGCTGTGTAACAGGACAGGAATACTCGGGTGACACAACACTACAGCACACACAGGCACAAGTTTAGGAGATGTCAAAGTCTCCCAGTTCTCAGCTACACATTTTAATCCAGTGCAAGCTTGTGTTGACTGAAACCTGCTCCATGCCGTGTTCATTCGCATGGCTTGTTTTGTATCCTATCCATCCGGGAACTCCAATACACAAAAAAGGCATACTTAATAAATCATGTGTTTTGAACCTGCCTTGCTACAGAAACAGAAACTACAGAAACTTCCTCTGCGCTCACATCTGTTTGGTAACCCAGTTTACTAACTTTAAAAGCCCAATGGTTAATTTCTACCAAAACTTGGCAGAAGATAAGCCATTCCAAGGATATCAGTACAATGGAGATACACAGATGGATAAAACCATGAATTCCTATTACTAGGGATTCTCTGAGGAAAAAACTGAAAATTAACTCAAATTTCTTTCAAACATTTGTGGATCCACACAGGGATTTCCCACCACTATGAGATCCCAGGGAATTCAACCGGGAAAGCCAATGCTATAGGACATAAAGCTGTATTAATTCCACTGCTTATTTCCAGCTCTGTATTTAGGTTTCTCACAAATCTCCTATTCCAGCGCATATGGAGTTAGACCTTCATTTACAGAGAGTGAAAAGCCAGCCATGTTAATGTTGAACCTAGGTCCCACCTCTTCCCTGACAAAAATGGAGAGAGAAGAGGAAAACTGATTTGCAGCAGGGAACAGATCACCACACTGCACACGCAGGACATTTATACTGAGATACCGTGTAATTAAATGGACACCTTTTCATACTCATTTTTGAACAGCCAGAAAATCATTACCCCAGGCAGTGGAGTTGGTGTTGGTAGGAAAGCAGGAGTTATTACATGAACAAAACTAAAGCCAACAAACCATTTAGCAGACTGCAAACAGAAAACACCATTTAATAAAAGTGAAGGAGAAACCAATAGTGGTAATAATTAATTGCATAGCAGCAGTACCTACGAGCGTGGTTAATGGACAAGAACCCAGAGGGGACTAGCTTTTCCTAAGGCCCACTAGCTACTAAAATGATCCTGTCAACACATGCAAGATGTGGACTGGATACTGGCTGGAAATGAGGGAAAATAAATAAAATTTTGCAAAAAATCAATCTGTGCCTAACTGAGCTGGTGTCTGATTCCCACAGACATAAACACGTCCTGCATTAAGCTTCCTGCTTAGTTCGGTTGCAGAGGCATGGAGATTCTGATCTTAGGTCTGAGAAGTTTCTCACAGCCCCACAGTTTGATGAGGCCCCTGAAGCTGACAGTTGCCACCTAGCACTGAAATAAGAAAGCTGACTTCATAAATTGCAGCCCTGGAGAATGAGAAGCTGCATGCTTGGTGCACATACTGGCTTTCCTCTGGCAAGGTCTGTGAAGAGGCAAGACTGCTGTGATTTCAGTCCTTAAGACCTGATGTGAACAACACCAAAAATGCCGTCCCCGTTTCTTTGCCCAGGCACCATCCACCTCCAAAAGGCCGCTGGGCACCAGCTGGCCAGGTGCAGCAGTACCTTGAGAGCTCTGCAGCAGCTATCCCCAGGCTCCACAGGTGCTCCTCTTGCCCACAATTTCCTTTTTGTCTGCACAGGACTAATCCAGCCTGAGAGGACTTCATCCACGTCACTGCAGCTTCCAGCGCTGTGTAACTAGCCAAGTTCCTGATCCACTTTAGGAAGCTTGGTTGTTCTCCAAAATGACAGATGTCTCTTGAGAGGTCTCTCCAGCTGTCTTCTTGTGCCTCTTCTTGTGTCTCCCTCCATGCTTGAGGGCTGAGGTAGCACAAAGGCAAGGTGACATTTTCAAGAGAACCACCAACACATATGAAAGCCAAGGTTCAGAGAAAGGATTTCCCTTTGGAAAAAATGGGATGAGCACAGGGTTGCTGCAGGGACCTGATACTTTCCCATACTCTCCCTCAGACCCCGTACAATCTCTCAAATAATGCTTTTACTGCTTGACACTGAGGTCTGTCAAGGAAAGGTTTCAAATCCCTCCTGTGGCAAGAGTAAGTGCAGACAGCTAAGCCAGACACATGAATAAATCAGCAAGAGCAGAGCTGCTCAGCCAACACAGTGCCCCTCAGGCTACTACCACTGAGATCCAGAGACGTGATCTCCACAGTCGCTGCAAAACCAGACAGCAGCAGGAACCAACCGAAAAGATGAGAGGGCTGGAAAGCAGCTGTACACCTATGGCCTTCATCAAAGCTGTGTGAGATCCAGGCTAAGTCTCAGGTTAGCTTTTCAGTTCAGATTTCCCTCTGACCCCAAATTTTGAAACTGGAAAACTGTTACCTGAGGTAAATTCTGCCAAAGCCACATTCCTACAGAAAGAGCTTCAGCTGTGACTCCTGAGAGCCCGTAAAAATGAAGTCAATACAACCTCACATCCACTTAATCAAAAAAGTCCCAGACAGCTCTATATTCTCAAATGGACCATGCAAAACCACATACCAGCTCAGAAAATCACCTTGTGCTGGGGAAGAAAACCACCTCTGGGCCTTTGAAAGACAGCTCCTGCATTCTGACAGCAATTCCAAGTGCTGCAGTGACCGATCACAGTCAGGACCAGATGTTTCAAGTGTAATATGCAGGTCAGTGAGCATCTGAACGAGCCTCCAGATCTTTGAAAGGCAGCTCCTGCATTCTGACAGCAATTCCATGAAAAGTGCTGCAGTGACTGATCACAGTCAGGACCAGATGTTTCAAGTGTAATATGCAGGTCAGTGAGCATCTGAACGAGCCTCCAGATCCAAAACACAGGTACAAAGCAAAAGGTTGGGTAATGAATGGAGGAAAAGCATGCACGGGCCTTCCCAGCTTCTAAGAGGAGAGTGTGCAGTCATCTACCATAGCAGTGGCCGTCCTTGCATCACAAACCAGGAGAGCAAACGAGCGCAATAGCTGCTCGCTGTGATCCCCGAAGACATTGCTCCCCGCTGCCCCTGATTTCTCAAATGCCAGCTGCTGCTGCAGAGCCCTGAGAGATTGCTCGGGTGCTTGCTGTTCCGTGGCTAAATGCAATCCTCCTGCACCGAGGGGTTCAGAAGACTGGGGGGAGGACGCAGCAGAGGAAAAGGTGTTCTGTTTCCTCGTTGCAAATCAAATAGCGTGACTGACATCAAAAGACAAGCACACAGACGGAGCAAGCAGAGCATGGAGTGGGGCAGGGGGAAGAGGCTGGCTGCGGTGAAACAGGAAAAAAATACTCTTGCCAGGGCATATAGCAGGCAGAGAAAGCTCAAGTAATGGGACAAAATACCTTCTCCCTTCAGTTAGGGCATGCTTTCCTCCTTTCCATGCTGTCTACCTCTGTCTGACAGTGTTTGCAAGGATGGAGTCCAGCTGTTACAGATTGCTAATGCACATTTCTCCAGCAGCAAAAAAAAACACTGGACTTGCCCACTCTACTCTGCACTGACTTCTCAAGGACAGTCACTGCCATTCTACAGTGTCATCCTCATCTGAAAGCACTCGCATCTGAGCTCCAATTGCCTAGGAAAGTCTAAGGGAACACTGGGGCAAAGACACTGGCCAACAGCTTTGCTCCTCTGCTATGAACAGAGCTCCCAAAACCAAGAGTAACAATCATCTGTGTGGGTCTGGTCTCAGGCTGTGAAACACGACCTCTACAGGAGCACCACAAAGCTCAGAGGGCAAAGCACACATCTCTGTGTGACTCCGAGTGTGCACACATGCACGTGTTAGGGACCACGCACAGACAATTTACACATTATGTATGTGTACACAATCAAAATGATAACGTGCAAATATCCATATAACTTCTGTTCAATTGCACAGCTGCAGAATCCAACAGCGTGTGATTTTCACGTATGCCAGCCCGTTTCAGCTGCTGCACGGATGTACGTGCATGTACTTATGCACATGACTACACAAATTCCAGGGCAAACTCCTGCACTGCCCACACTCATCCCCTTGGGGAGAGAATGACAGCGAGATGCTGCTCATATTACTCTCCTTTCTCCTGGAAAAAAATCCCCACTCTGCCACAGGGAAGACAGTGTCAGAATTGCGTAGGGCAGGATCTCTTTTCCCCTCTCCTATCTCCCCAGACCCATTAGCCCGGCTCTCAAAAATTGCACTAACTCACCAAGCTACCGTCTCGCTCTCGCCCACATCCTTGGTAGCTGCAGCACAGCTGCTGGGCTGGCTCCAAGTCTGTGACTTCACTGGAGCAGCTGCTGGTGCTGGGAAGAGAATTTGGTTACAATTCAGATACAGCTAGAGCCAAAGCTACAAAATACAGCACTGTCTTCTCTTCAAGCAAAAAAATGATGCTATGCATGCTACAGGCACAGCCAACACACTGTCCTTGAGCAAGTCTGCCTCCAAACAGCTAAGAGGAGCAAAGGGGATGGATAAATAACACACGTCTAACATGTATGTCTTGTCCAACATGAGGTCTCAAAACAGGGAAGGCAGACTAGGGGCA